ATGCCGCAGGTGGCCCTCCCCAGCCCCGCCGCACCTGCAATGACGATCCATGCTTTGCGGGAGTCAGCTGTACAGACACGCCCACCGGGTTCGAGTGCGGGGAGTGTCCCGCCGGTTTTCAAGGCAACGGAACACACTGCGGGGATGTGGACGAGGTCAGGGCTGGTCTCAAAACATCTTATTACTCACGTCAGGCGAAATTTGATTAGTATGATGACATGTAAAATATTTCCTTGCCAAAAACAAACATATTATTACAGTTAGACATTTTCAATCTAATTATGTCTCAACTCCGTATCTTCGTACTAAGGCCAATATATGTAACCTTAGCGATTTACACAAGACACAGGTACATGTATTGTAACAGACAGAAATGTTTAAGGTACAAAATGTGTCTATGCGCGATTTACATTAACTTTATATTTCAGTAGTCATAGGTTTTAGAATAGTCTAGTATACATGTAGCATTGATTGGTTTGTTATTATTGCCGTACATTGTACCTTGTACAGTTGTTGAGCCATAACCTAATTGTACATGTATATATTGGGATATCTAACCATCATTATAAATTAAAGAAATTCACAGTCAGTTACACTTTCTTGAACAGTTTTAAAAAAAACTAGTAACTTTGCCGCCTTTTCCAGTGTCGTGTGGCCACACCTTGTTCCGTGCTGACCACGTGCCAGAACCTGTCCCCAGGGTTCCGCTGTAGGTCCTGTCCCAGGGGGTACACCGGGAACAAGGTAGAAGGGGTGGGCGTGGAGTTCGCCCTCAGGAACAGACAGGTGAGTGTGAGGTAGTCTCCACCGGACTCCTTCGCCGACTGAATAGAATAAAAGTTGGCCTAAAAGGAACGTCTGGTAACTGGCCAGGGGAGTCAGCTTGACCAATATTAGCGTGTCCAATTTGCCTGCATGGCCGATTTCTACTATTCATTCAGCCTTCAAAGGAGTCTGGTGGAGACTATAACATGTGAGGGTCATCTTTGTGTTCAGCTTCTTTTGCTGCTAGAGGGGACATATCTTGTCATCACCCTGTATTTCTAGGAACTCATAAGAGTCCATCTATTTCAGGTATGCCGGGATCTCAACGAATGTAACGATGGCAACAACGGAGGCTGTGTGCCGAACTCTGTCTGCACAAACACTATGGTGGGCATATTGTACTGTCTGACATCACGACTTTTTTGACAAGTTAACAACTGTGTCTCTGAATATGAACTCTCATATGTAGTAATGCCACTTCTAACAAAAAACTGTATGAATTTCTATGTAACGCTTTCCAATCCAAAAATGCCTTAAATCTGTTTGATTTAGGGACAGGAGGTATCACGTATTATCATATTCATGTATTGAGATTTTATTATTTCAGTGCATTTATTTACTAGTTTTTTTTTACGTGAAAAAAAGTGTTCAAGAAAAAAATGGTGTTAGTAAATGAACTTTCATTATCCATATGTTCTGGCAGGGTTCGTTCCGGTGCGGGCCGTGCCTGACGGGGTACGTGGGGAACCAGACGGTGGGGTGCCGCCCGGGCAGACGCTGCTCCGACGGAGGCACAAACCCGTGCGACGAGAACGCCAACTGCAAGGTCACCAGGCCCGGACAGTACAGCTGTGAGGTTAGAAAACTACTGGTTTATACCTTTGTCGAGAAGGTTATAATATACACCATATATAGGGTTTGGCGATTTTTCAATGGTTATAACTTGCGGTGGATGTGGTGTATGTATCTTTATATTTGGTTGGGGTTGGGCTTTATAATTATTTTGTAATGTACTGCAGCGGTGTGATATCTCGTATTGTGGACATGCAATGGTTTTCTTATTTAGTAGGTAGGTTGGAGTTGGGACAACAAAGGTCAATTTATAAATATGGATAATTTTAGCAGCTCTGTACAGTACTGCAGGGGCAGTATATGGGCGTGATATCTTAGTTAACCCTAAGTAGACCCTCAATACGTAATCCAATGGGGGTTAGAATCCATATAGACAACATGATTACGTAACTTATTCAACAAATAAGAACAACAATAAACTTTCTTCCTTTGTTGTGTCAAAGTGCAAAGTTGGCTGGGGTGGAAACGGTTTTCCTGTGCGGTCCAGACACAGATATCGACGGTTATCCAGATGAAGCTCTGCCATGCTCTGATAATAAGTGTCGCCCGGTAAGTACTTCAACACGAGATCATGCACCCAGTTACATCATAATTATACATACTAGTAATATATATATTAAAGATGAATTTCACTTTGCACTTTGTCATGGAATGCTCTTGATATGATGTTTTGTGTAACAAACTATTCACATTTCTTAATTCTCAGCACAACTGATTTTAAAAAAAATCGATGCTACAGACAGATTTGAATGTGTATTTAAATGCAATTAATTCCCACATTACAAAAAGAGGTAAATATATAAAAGACTGCTTTGTTATTAGAAAAAATACAGAAACTCACGATTAGCCTCACTTGATTGTAATTGTAACAGTTACACTATATCAAAGACTTATGCTATTCTTTGTTGTTTTAGTAATAAGGATGTTACAGTATGTTATATCATACTGTCTACCTTTTTCTATACTATGTTCATTAGTGCTGTTGCTTTTGCCATACATTGTGTACCATGTAGAATTGTCCTGCAATAAAGTTCTTGCTTATACTTGTACTGGAAGATATTGAATTAGAAAACCATTGCTTTACCAACTATCAAATTATAATTCATGAATGCTAACGCATGTCCTGTGTTGGGCAGGATAACTGTGTTCTGGTGCCGAACTCCGGCCAGGAGGATGCGGACGGAGACAGGATCGGGGACGCCTGTGACGATGACGCCGATGGTGACGGCGTGCCTAACATGGAGGTCTGTCAGACTTACCATAGATGTACCTCAAAATCTGTCTTTGTTGTGTGCTATCTAGATATCTGAATAAAGTTCGGGTAGCAGCCGAGAGGAGCACGGTTTAGTCAGGCTAGCAGCTAGCCATATTACACCGAACGACCTGTTACACCCAATCTTCGCACATCTAACTGCAGGAGTTGTTTAAACAGTTTAACTAAAGCCTTCTAGTGATGATGCCCTAACTGTGCTTGGTGGCAGCGAGTTCCACTCTACGATAGTTCTTGGAAAGTATGGCGAGTTGAACTTGTACACCAATTCTTGGTTGATAACTCTGATAATTGATTAAGGCATGTCTGATTCTTGTTATTTTTCTGAGATGGTATGAGATGCTTAATAACTGGTACATCCACCAGTTTATTTGTCATTTTGTACATCATGCATAGTCTGGACTGTCGTGATAGGCTTTATATCAAAGCTTCTTTCAAAGATTCATTTGCAATCCATAAATCAACACTGGTGAACACTTTTTTAAGAACGGTATTCGGTACCTGAAATAGGAGATGGCAATGGATTAGCAGCAATAAAGTTTAGATAGACGTAAAGCTCATCGTCTGTTATAGTTGCATGATTTCATCCAGCACTAACAGTATTTATATTACGCCAAAAAGCAGTTACTCAAGCAACTGGATATGATTTTGAAAACGTCAGACGTTTCAGCTAGTATCCACTAGCTTTCGTCAGTGACTGAGAGACCAGAGGGGAAAACAGGTTTATAAGCACAACCTATTGATTGATATGCAAATAAAGTGAAACGTCTGACGTTTTCAAAATCATATCCAGTTGCTTGAGTAACTGCTTTTTGGCGTATCGTATTACCTGGATGTCTAACCTTCATCGAAGTATTTATATTACACCCTCTGTTTACCGCCTTTGCAGGATAACTGTCCCTTGAAGCCGAACACTGGGCAGCAGAATTCCGACACGGATTCAGACGGAGACGCGTGTGACAACTGCCCCAACGTGCCCAACCCCAGCCAGCTGGATACGGACAGGAACGGCGTGGGTGACGCTTGCGATAACGACATTGATGGCGACAGTAAGTTGGGTCCTTTCCATAAGTGTACTGTGTCGTTTTGTCGACAGAAAAGTTGTTGGTATTGTACTGCCTCGATTTTCATACTTGCGGCATTTGAGTTGAGTGAAAGGGAACATCATGAAACATAACTTATTGAAATTTGGACCTCATTTACAAAATTTATGAGGAAATGAGGAAATAAGACTGACATTTGGTGGAGAATACGATCAACTGAACAATCTATGCAGACTAAGATTTGCTTTAAATCAATGACAAACATTTGAAATTCGTCAGTTGTAAAGGGTTAACATAATTTCTTGAAGGAATTATAATATTAGGAAAATGTCAGTAAAAAGAAAGAGTTTCAGAAAGATAAGACTGCCATTGGGTGGAGATAATGATCAACTGATATAATTTATCCAAATGAGGATCTCATTTGTCTAAACAAAGAGAAACTGTGTTACATATGTATAAGTCGTCAGTCATAGGGGTTAACATAATTTGCCGAAGGTACATGTCTGAGATCGTGGAACATTAGTTTCTGTTTTCTCTTGAGGTATTCCCAACCTGTTGGACAACTGCCCGAAGATCCCGAACCAGCGTCAGGTGGACCGGGACGGTGACGGTGTCGGGGACGAGTGTGACAGCTGTCCGGACAACAGTAACCCCACACAGGCATGTCACTTTACCATGTCATGGTCTCATCAAGATGCAAATTACATCATCTTACGCTGGTACTAAAACGTTGCTCTCCAAGCAGATCTTTCGGTGGCTTGGCCAAGCAGTATCCATTGGCCAGACAGTTACCATTTATCATCCAAGGCTGGCAGAAAAAAGATATGAGGAGAAGAAAGAGAGACCGATAAAAGCGTCTAGAACACACCCAGAATAAGCCAAAGCCTTCTGCTTGGAGAGTGCTAAAACATAGTCTCTACCAGACTCCGTAATTTGTATAGTATTACATAAAAAAAAAATAGAAAATGGCCAGAAGAGTTAGCCAGTGATAGAATTGCAATTTCCAGCATCCAACTCCAATTACCATGGAGTCAAGTCTACCCCGTAGTAAAGACTATCCAAAAAGCCCTGCTACAAAGATGGGAACTTCGGTTTGTGATGTTGTTTTGAGTGAGTAGGTATGGTTTTGATGTTCAGTTTCATCTGTCTCTTGTCTCCTCATAGAATGACAGTGATGACGACTTGGTAGGAGATTCCTGCGATACGAACGAAGACCAGTAAGCAACAAGTTGCTACTCATTTTACTGTCATGCCCTATGATCTCTTCTGGTATTGCACACGCAGCGGAGCATCTTATTTGAT